GGAGGAGGATGAGGAGGGGGAGGGGGAGGGGGAGGGGGACGAGGAGGAGGAGGAGGAGGAGGAGGAGGAGGAGGAGGAGGAGGATGATGATGAGGAGGAGGAGGCGTCGGCATCGTGGGGCCACGTGGCTCGCGCTTTCTCCTGCAAGTCGCTGTGTCTCGTGCTCGCTCGATGCAATTCGCGAACATGGAAACATGTAGTGAAGGGTGGTTCGTGGTTTCCTACCCGCTGGTTCCCGACGTCACCGTTAAGCAACATCGCCGTTAGCCTGGCCTTGGCAGTATCGGCGGCGAGCGAGGGGGGGTGAGTGGGAATGAGAAGGCCTCCATAGAAGGGGGCGGGGCTTCTCAGAAGCTCACGCGCCTTTTGAGATGTTTTCCATGCCTCTGGGGAAGACTGCGAACAGTTCTTAGACGGCCGTGGGATGTTCGAGCCTTCTGAGAAGGCCCGCCCCGTCTCACTTCCCCTCCAGGCGCGCCGCCTAATGTACAGCATCAGCATTTAGTCAAGTCGCATAGCACAGATGAGCGACTTTCCACGGTTACCCTTGCGTCCTTCCCCTTCGGCTTATCCTCTGCCATTTTCGCTGGCCGCGCCCCACTCGAAAGGCGTCGATATGGCCGTCCAAGGCCCATGCACCCTGATCGTGCATCCTTGTTGGACGCCTTGACTGCAGTCAAACACTGCCCGCCCCGCGCCGCATGCTCATTGCAGTCTGTGCTGCGCGGCGACGGGGAGGGATCAGGAGGATAACACCACACATACGCACATACCCTCCGATTCCTTATAAAATATGTGAACATATGGGAAGTGGGGGAAGACAGCAACCAAGAAAACATGGGGAACATAAGGGGGAATCCCTTTATTTGTGTGTATGGATTCCCTGCCCTCCTTGGTTGGGTATTCGTTTTGAATATATGGGTGTGGTCGCGTCTCTCCTCCTCCTCCTCCTCCTCCTCCTCCCGCCTCCCGTGCCGCGCGCGCGCGCGCGTGTGTGTGTGTGTGTGTGTGTGTGTGTGTGTGTGTGTGTGTGTGTGTGTGTGTGTGTGTGTGTGTGTGTGAGAGTGTGTGTGTGTGAGTGTGTGTGTGTGTGTTTGTGTGTGCGTGTGCGTGTGCATCTTGCATGCGGTACCTCTTGTGTGCATCTTGCCCCTTCTCTCCCCCCCTGTGGTCGCCGTCCCTGGGTGGCTGCGACCTGCGAAACTGTCGCCACTTTCGAGGGCTGCTGGTGGGTCCAGCGGAGTGAGGCACCGCGCGGACCTGAGCGCGACCTCGCCGTCCCTGGTGGGCTGCGATCTGCGAAACTGTCGCCACTTTCGAGGGCTGCTGCTGGGTCCTGCGGAGTGAGGCACCGCGCGGGCCTGAGTGGGACCTCGCCGTCCTTGGGGGGGGTGCGATATGCGGAACTGTCGCCACTTTCGAGGGCTGCTGGTGGGTCCTGCGGAGTGAGGCACCGCGCGGACCTGAGCGGGACCTCGCCGTCCCTGGTTGGTTGCGATCTGCGAAACTGTCGCCAGTTTCGAGGGCTGCTGTTGGGTCCTGCGGGGTGAGGCACCGCGCGGACCTGAGCGGGACCTCGCCGTCCTTGGGGGGCTGCGATATGCGAAACTGTCGCCACTTGCGAGGGCTGCTGGTGGGTCCAGCGGAGTGAGGCACCGCGCGGACCTGAGCGGGACCTCGCCGTGCCTGGGGGGTTGCGACCTGCGGAACTGTTGCTATTTTCGAGGGCTGGTCGTGGGTCCAGCGGAGTGAGGCACCGCGCGGACCTGAGCGGGACTTCGCCGTGCCTGGGGGACTGTGGATCTGGCGACATCGCGCCAAATTCAGAGGGCTGTGCGGAGGTTCCTGCGAAGTTTAGCCCGCTCTCGATCTGATGAGGGGACCTCGCCGTCCCTTGGGGGGTTGCGATCTTGCGAAATTTGTCGCCACTCTCGTTTTTTTCTTCTTTTTTTTTCGAGGGCTGCTGGTGGGTCCAGCGGAGTGAGGCACCGCGCGGCCTGAGCGGGGACCTCGGCCGCTGCCTGGTGGGCTGCGATCTGCGGAACTGTCGCCACTTTCGTGGGCTGCTGGTGGGCCCTGACGGAGTGAGGCACCGCGCGACCTGAGCGGGACCTCGCCGTCCCTGGGGGGCTGCGATCTGCGAAACTGTCGCCACTTTCGAGGGCTGCTGGTGGGTCCTGCGGAGTGAGGCACCGCGCGGACCTGAGCGGGACCTCGCCGTCCTTGGGGGGCTGCGATCTGCGAAATTGTCGCCACTTTCGGGAGCTGCTGGTGGGTCCTGCGGAGTGAGGCACCGCGCGGACCTGAGCGGTGGGGGTCTGCGATCTGCGGAACTGTCGCTATTTTCGAGGGCTGCGGGTGGGTCCTGCGGAGTGAGGCAGCGCGCAGATCTGAGCAAGACCTCGCCGTGCCTGGGGGGCTGCGATCTGCGAAATTGTCGCCACTTTACTTTCGAGGGCTGCTGGTGGGCCCAGCGGAGTGAGGCACCGCGCGGACCTGAGCGGGACCTCGCCGTGCCTGGGGGGCTGCGATCTGCGAAATTGTCGCCACTTTCGAGGGCTGCTGGTGGGTCCAGCGGAGTGAGGCACCGCGCGGACCTGAGCGGGACCTCGCCGTGCCTGGGGGGCTGCGATCTGCGGAACTGTCGCTATTTTCGAGGGCTCGTCGTGGGTCCAGCGGAGTGAGGCACCGCGTGGACCTGAGCGGGACCTCGCCGTGCCTGGGGGGCTGCGATCTGCAGAACTGTCGCCACTTTCGAGGGCTGCTGGCGGGTCCAGCGGAGTGAGGCACCGCGCGGACTTGAGCGGGACCTCGCCGTGCCGGGGGGGTTGCGATCTGCGAAATTGTCGCCACTTTCGAGGGCTGCTGGTGGGTCCAGCGGAGTGAGGCACCGCGCGGACCTGAGCGGGACCTTTCCGTGCCTGGGGGGCTGCGATCTGCGGAACTGTCGCCACTTTCGAGGGCTGCTGGCGGGTCCAGCGGAGTGAGGCACCGCGCAGATCTGAGCGGGACCTCGCCGTCCCTGGGGGGTTGCGATATGTGGAACTGTCGCCACTTTCGAGGGCTGTTCGTGGGTCCAGCGGAGTGAGGCACCGCGCAGATTTGAGCAAGACCTCGCCGTGCCTGGGGGGCTGCGATCTGCGGAACTGTCGCCACTTTCGAGGGCTGCTGTTGGGTCCTGCGGAGTGAGGCACCGCGCAGATCTGAGCGGGACCTCGCCGTCCCTGGGGGGCTGCGAGCCTCACGAATGCCGCTCGCAGAAGTATATGCGCCCATGTCACGTCATCACCTCCGTATAACGTCTCCCGAGCTACTCGTGCCCCGCATTGCGCAGGGGTTGGGTACGTCGCCAGGGTAATTTGTGTGTCCCAGGGCCCCTTCAAGGGAGAGGTGAAACGCAACGCGAGCAGACGCCCGCGCCCGCCCGCCCCGCGCCTCATGCTCTGGGCAGTCTGTGCTGCGCGGCGACGGAGAGGGATCAGGAGGAGAACAAAAACACACAGACACAATTTATCGTCGATTCCCCAGAAAATATGGGAAAGTATGGGACGTGGGGGGGAAGACAGAAACCAAGACCCTATGGAACATATGGGATCCATGTACTCGTGTGTATTTATTTGTGCGTCCCAGGGCCCCCTTCAAGGGAGAGGTGAAGCGCAAAGCGAGCAGCCGCCGTCGAGCGCGCAGGCGGGAGGCCGGGGCCGGCAGGGCAGCTGGGCCGGCTGTGCAGTCCGCCGTCCGCTCGGCCAGGAGGCCCCCGCGGGCCCTGCGGAGGTCTGCCGGGCGGAGGGCCCCCCCCCGGAGTGGTGATGTTCCAGCCTTCTGGACGCCCGAAATGGGTACGGAAAGAATGGGTACGATGCCCAACAGCAGTTCCTGTCCATTCTGAACAGGACTCGCTGTCCACGCCGCCGCGGCCTGTGTCCATTCGAGACAGAAGGCCGCCTGTCCAACAGCGGCCGCTGTTGGTTTGGGACAACATTTGTTGTTGGGCATTGTACCCATTCTTTCGGTACCCATTTCGGGTGTCCAAAAGCCTGCTTTAGCCCTGACCACCGGGAAGGCTGAAGACCTTCGAGCACCAACCAAAGTACCGAACCTCGATGGGTTTTTTCATTTGTCGGGCCCTGGGGGGCGCTCGTCCGACGCTGTTGCGAGACGATTTCGACACTCTTTCGACACTTTCCCGGGTGCTCGAAATGGTCCGTAAGGGCTTCGCCCCCTGCCGCCGGCCCCCTGTCTCGGATAATGGGAGATGCAAAAGCTAAACCATGAGGTCTGGGCGCCGCCGTGAAGCAGTGTCGGGACCTGTTTGTTTTTCGACCCTGACCCTACGGATCTGCGTCACGGGTGCCACCGAATTTCAGAAATGTTGCAAATCCCCTATGTTTTTGGACCCTGACCCCGCCGATCTGCGCGAGAGGTGCCACCGAATTTCAGAAATGTGGCAAATCCCATGTGTTGTTGGACCCTGACTCTGCCGATCTGCGTGAGGGGTGCCAGCAAATTTGAGGAATGTGGCAAATCCCCTGTCCTTTCGGACCCTGACCCCGCCGATCTGCGTGACGGGTGCCACCAAATTTCAGAAATGTGGCATGCCCATGTGTTTTTGGACCCTGACCCCGCCGA